CCTCTTTTAAATCATGTATTTCTTTTTTTGCTATTATTATGAATTCTAATAATAGAATTCATAAACCTTTATCAGACAGATACAGTTTCCAATTATGTTCTCCCATTCCATAGTTTGTTCATTGTGTTGATAGCTTCCTTTGCTATGCAGCTTTTTAGTTTGATTTATTCCCACCTGTTTATTTTTGCTTCTGGTACGTTTGCTTTTGGTGTCAGGTTCAAAAAGTCATCACTAAGACCGATATCAAGGTCTTTACTGCCTATGTTTTCTTTCAAAAATTTTATGGTGTCAAGTCTTAAGTTTTACATGTTTAGTCCATTTTGAGTTGACTTTTATGTATGGTATAAGAGAGAGGCCCGGTTTTCTTCTTTTAAATGTGGCTGTCCATTCACTGAAAGAGCATCTTTATCCTGTTGTATATTTGTGTCTCCTCTGTTATAAATTAATTGACCACATATGCATAGGCTCACTTCTGGGTATACTATTCTGTTTCTTGCATCTTTGTGTCTGGAAAAAGTGCTATATTTTTGGAATGATTTTACAGTGGAAGTTTAAGAATATTTTCCATAGGAAACAACTAATACATTAATTTCTTGATTTTTTTTTTTTTTTGCTTTTTGCTGAACTTTTAGCAACTCTCAGGCCCTGTGATTTTAATAAGTAGTGAAAAAGAAAGATTGTGTATTAGAAAAAGTAAACGTATTTTAGTGAACTATTTTGAAGATTTAAGAAAAAAATAAGTATCCTTTTAAAATATTGTGTAGCTATTTTTAAAAATACAGTGTAAATATATTGCTACTTTACTATTTTATATACAACTACATATAGCCATTATAAGTTTCAGTAATGAATTGGACAATAGCAATATTAATACAATGGGTTAACAACTTCTTTAAGAAAACAGGGTCTCACCAAGTTCTTTTCCCTTCCACCAGGTATTAATATTCTGAAATATTTCTATTGCCTTGGTGTTGGCAATCTTAAGTAATTTTCAAGCTCAACTGACAATCTATCAAACATAGAAAACTACAGTTTGGGGCAAATATACATTAGTAATACCTTTTACCAAAACTGCCATTTCCTTTATCGTAAAATTGAAAGAAAAGGTTCTTTTGAACTATGGAGCCTTAAACAATTTTCTCTCTTTTTTCCATACCACCCCATCCCCCACCCCACCCCAGTCTCCTCCAAATTTGCATCTGGAAGCAGAGGTAGGTGTAGCTTTAAGGTCAGCTTCGAGCTGCTGGCTGCTTCAAGCACCTTTGTCTGGCAAACAGCAAGTAGAAGTGATTGAGAAATCCCTGAGACTGGTGCTTCCCCTGGGAGTCCAGACTGCCTTTGCACTGCCTCTCTTCAACTCTCTAAGCCTTGGAGCCGTCACGGGCTCTCAGGTCCACTCCCTACTCACTGTCTCCAGTCTAGAATCGCTCTTAAACCTTCCGGGGTTGGACTCACAAAAAGCTAAGTCAGGATGAGGATAGAGGTGGGGGGGGGGGAAACACTGTTTAAAAGCTTAGAGAAGCTTTCAGGGGACCCGGACTGCAAAACTCTTGACTTGGGGCAATTAAATCCAAACAGCTTAGTTATGATGCCAAGTCTCCTCCCAAGTGAGAAACTGTACAAAAGGAAAGCGTTTCTGCAATGGGACACTTTCACTCGTAAGAAATCAAAAGCAGGGGGCAGGCTGGAACAGAGGTTCTTAAAGAAATAAAAGAAAGAAGGGGCGGGGGGCACTGTTGGAAAGAGATGGAACAGGAAAGAGGCAGAGGAAAGAAAGACAGAAAATAGGGACAGAGTAAGAGGGGGAAAGGGAGTTTGCAGGAGGCGTTGGAGGTGGAAGTGGGGGGTGAGATGTGGAGGGGCCCTGAACACTGGAGTAAGGAAGAGAAGAGAGAGACATAGGGGCCAGAATGGAGAAAGGGCAGAAGAGGAGAGGGCGGAGAGCGGAGAGAGAAGAGACACAGATTACAAGAGCCAGAATGGAAAGGGAGAGAACTTTCTCTGCCTTTCCTGCCTCGGGCAGAAGCCTCTGAAAATCCCAACTCCACGAGGTGGCAGGGACCGCGATCAGCTGCCTGGGGTCTCTGGCCTCGGTCTCCGACTGACGCGGAGTAGGGGACACAGTCTGGAAGGGGCGGTCCTCGCTGTGTTTCTCCACCCCTCTCCTCTTAGAGGCGGGC